AAAAATGGCTACACTTTAAATAGTCCTGCAAACTGAACTAGAGCATCATTCTTCAGGAAGGATTAGAGAAAATGTTTTGTTCCATTATTATCTGATTTGCTACACTGCCTAAGATTCAGAGTTGATTTTAGCTAATAGTGATGAATCCTAAAACCCAACCCACTTCTAAATTGTGATCCTTGGGAGGTTTTCTTGCATAATTGCAAGAAGTTATATACAATGTTTTGTGAAAGGCAATGCTTAAGGAAACCTAATTTACAATTTTTCACAGGACAATGTTTGAAAAAAAATTCTTCCCTGAAATTGAGATAAATTTGGGAAAAAATGTATACGTTGAGTATTAACTTGATTGATGTGCCAGTATGTCCATATGAACTGGGCATATAATCTATATACTGAAAAGAAAGTTGTAGTACTAGAAACTCTTAAGTGTCAATACTTTTTGACTTTGTAAAAGGAATTTTAGGCAACTTTTTGACTACACAGAGCTGTCTCATGTCATTCTTTGCATACATCACCTCTGTTTTTTCTCTCTTCTTGCATAATGGCCCAGCTTTTCTGAGAGTAGCTGTTGTCCCGAATGTGATCCTTTACTAAAAATGGGATTGAATGAAGATGCTGCACAAATGATCTTGAAGCAAAGGAAAACTAGGCATTTGAAAAGGACCCAGAAAGGAATGAGTAATGAACCAGAGTGGCCTCGATGAATTGCTGTAGAGGGAATTCTCGGTTTTGACACAAAAGGAACTCATGGATACCAAGGAAAACCCAGGGAGAGAATCTCAGTAGGAAGCCTGCCTCACAGGCTGGTCAGGACAGAGGGCTGAAGCCAGTAGCTTCCAGATATGAACAGAAACAAATGTATCTCATGACTAACAGTTAAGCATTTGAACAGGCCGTTTTGGAACACAAGGTACCTTGGGAAGTTGACATTCCTTCATAATTCATGTTCATTGTTCCTCTAGGTAAAGTATGTGTCTCCCTTTAGTTATTCTGTTAGGAATTGTACTTTAAAGGCAAGCGGACATTTTGGATAATGCACATCTTAAGACTTTTCATTAAAGTACCAAATTTAAATTCTACCTTTTTGTGCACTCTGACATTTTTGTCTGGCATTTTCATTAATTTTGCGACATACATAAATGTAGCTGAAATGTTAACTGATCAATACTTTGTCTCTCTCATGTAGCACTAGTGCTCCGTTCCCCAAGGACCACACAGCAGAACAGAAATTAAATGTGTAAAATATCAAATGTTAATGTTAAACACAGCGGCACTTACTGTATAACGACAGAAAAGGCTAAAACAATTCCAAATGGACAGATGGTACCACAAATTATCTACAATCACATTTAAAGATTAAAGTTTGTCCTGTAAAATAATTCTCTGACGCACACTGAAGTGTGTCCTTTTACTGATAGCTCAGTTGTCCAATTATTTTTGTGCTCATTACAGTGAGAAATGACAGTACTGAAAAGAAAGAGAGAATGTGCACTCTTTTTTTTTTCCATGTTGCGCCCACTGACATCCAGAAGAACACAAATGTCTGGTCAAGAGCCTGATGAAAATTAGGCCCAATTTATGAGACATTTTCACATCTACAATAGATGATTCCCTGAGACAAGCAGTGCCTTCTGCACCATACACACGTCTGTGTCCGCTCTTCGGCAGACAATATTCATAGCAAAATTTAAAAACCTAATTCGTAACACACAAAAACAAGGACATTCCCAGAAACGTGTTTGCTTAGATTTTATCCATCACCTTCCAGACCAGTTTCAGCCTCTAATATCGTCAGCTTGCTTTGAATCTTCCCTGTAGCACATAGATAGTGCTAAAGAGGCTGGGGCTGCTGTAACCCTGCATTTCTTGTGTTCTCCACTTTAATTGATATTGGGACAAAAAAAATTATTGTTTTTCATTTTGATTTCATTATTCTATATTTATTTTTGGATAGTAAATTAGAAAAGAAAAATAAAACGGAAGAGAAAAAAGGCACATAACATTATAAAGTTTACCAATCTAGGCCTAAAACTGAGCTGTATAATGGTGCAACTGCATGTGCTCCATGAGGCAGGTGCATTTATGAAAAAGTGGGCCAAGTGGATCCAATGTTATAACCATAGACCCATGATCCATCAACATGGAATGATGGGAACAATATGTTTGTAACAAGGGGGTGCTGCTCAGACTCTTCTCCTAATGGAAAGCAGTTCTTTTCAATAAACTGGCCTAAAATGGCTCTGGGTATGCAGTGATGTCTTTGAAACATTTTGGTTTAAAATACATCATTTAATATCTACAAGATGAATAAAAATCCTATAATAAATTTTCTGAATTATTATGGTATCAAAATTACAAGGTAGATATTTTAAAGCTCTTTTAGAAAGGAAATAATATCTGCTGTGTGGCCTTGGGCAAGGTACTTAACTTATCTGTTCTTCAGTTTCTTTCTTCTGTATATTGGAGAAATAATAGAATCTACCTCATAAGGTTGTTGAGAATATTAAATTCATTAATTCATGAAAAACAGTTCCCTGCAACATAGTAAGTGCTTAGTAAATATTAGTAGTTATTATTATATAAGGATCTTTATTCATGAAAAACAGTTCCCTGCAACATAGTAAGTGCTTAGTAAATATTAGTAGTTATTATTCTATAAGGATTTTTATCAGAATTTAATCTGAGGTTAAAATAGATGATTGATAAAAGACTATGAAATGGTTTAGAATATAAATGGAAACTTCAGGGAAAATTGCTACAACACTATTAAGTATGTCTATCATGATTTACTAACTGGCTTTATTAGAGCAAACCCTTATTTATCTGGTATCATTGAAGAATGAGTTTCTCCACATAAGAGACATTTTCAGATTGATTGATTGGTTCATCATTGGTCAACTGATTTAGTCAACCATTTATATTGGGAGCTTGCTCTGCTAGGAGAGTATCTGCTAGATACTCTGCAGATGATGCTGGAGTACCAGGATGAAAAAGGCAGGGTCCCATTCTCATAGAACTCCCAGGGCAGATGTAAATAAATGAAGTTTGGTTTTGTTATTAGTTGTTTTTATCACATTTGATAGAATGTAATTTAGTGCTTCTTTTTTCCAGTGAAACACAGTTAATATTATTGTTTCTTCTCAAAACTCCTGTAGAGTTCCTCACGTGTGTTCCCACTGTAGTTTGTGGTCTTTTTTCTCGCTAGTGTCAGCAGGCCGTTTTCCTACCCTTCTTGCTCCTGCTGCTTTTTTTGTGGGGCTCTTACATTCAGCTCATGTTTCATAGGACAGAATCTATCCAAAACTGACCACCAGCTAAGAGAGATATTATTACATTTCTTCCCCAGTGAACTTTGACTCCTTTACAGTAAAATCACTCAAGTAATATCAGCTACATGTACCTGTTTCTCAGAATCCCAGTGCCTGAATGGTTTTTGTTCTGTTTAGAATCAAAAGGAAATTGTGAAAAAAAATTCCCATCTTGAATTCATTTTACATGAGTGACTTCCGGAAGCCAGAAGTTTATGAAGACTTACATAACACAGTCATTCTAAAGTGTTCAGAATGGATGTTCCTGAACAAATGATATAATTATATACATTTCTTTGTTTTCAAATTTTACAAACAGCTGTGAGGAATGACTTTAGAAGGAGTAGATCAAAAATAGCAGCATGACCTTTTCAGCAGAATTTTTTTGCATCTCTTATAAGGCCCCATAGAACCTGGAAGTAATAGTATAAAATATACATAGAAACACAGTATCATTTTTTTTCTCATTAACATCAAAGTGCCTGTATGCTAGTGAAAACTCAGAATAAAGTTTTCTTAGCAGTACCCTGATATATTTATTATTTGAAAGAGCTCCTAAAAGAACAGTGAGAGAAGGAGATATAAAAAACAAAAACAAAAACAAAAACTTAATGATAATGACAATTGCTTTCTTTAAGGAGACAACAACATGTCTATGGGAAGCAGGCTGCCTAACTTTCTGGTAACTTACAACACAAAGGGACATACACACTCTTTGTTCCATGTGCTCAGACATTAATGAAAGTCCCATACAAGGCCTGAGAGGAGGACAGAACTCAAAGTACTAAACAGATGTGCATACACTCATTTGAATGGTAATACTAAAATGTTGATTTGTTACTATAATTAAAGTTCTTATTGTAAGCTCCCATAATAAAGTCCTATTCTGCTAAACTGGCAGCTATAAGGAAGCATAAGGTACTCATATTCTAACAAACACGAAAATAAAATAAAGGATTTCAAAAGAAGGACTCCACTTAAACTTCATACTGAAATCCTGAATAAGCAAAAATAACATGGGAGCAGAAAATCCCAGCTAAAGCTCAGAGGAAAGTATTCTTTTGGATTTTCTAGCTCTGACAGTTGGTCTCATCAGCAGTTTTTAAATAATCAAAGTAAAAGGCTACAAGATGAACATTATTAGAGGACTATTTAGATCAAATTTTCACTTACGACTGTTAAAAAACTGAAAACCTCAGAAATAATAAAAGGTCTCTTAAGTAGGTCACATCCACTTCCAGTTGATTCACATATTAAAGTATTACCAAGTAGCATTCTACTGCCAATAATTTTCATATTTTGAAAAAATAGCTATAGAATGAATAAAATCAAATTGAGGATGGTCAAGATTATTATTTTTCACACTGAGGACTTTTCTTGGCTCTCCTGTTGGGATTTGGAATTATGCAATATGTAAAATTTTACTTTTTAACTGTCACAGAAAAAATTATATACTGGCTGAGATGTCTTGCTTTCCGGAAATCTGAGGGGTGGGGGGGATGTATTCTTGGACTCAGACCTTGTACAATCCATCGGGTTCCTGCCCACGGCAAATCTGTCCACTCAAGTCTTAAAATATGAGTTTTAAAATGGCCATATCAACATAACTGTTACTATAGCCACAGAAACAAGCCGCTATGATTACTGAATTTAATGAATAACAATGTAAGTAATACAGTATGATCATACCACAAAAGCAGCAAGACTCCTTGGGGGTGAATCCCAATCAAAGCAACTATTAACGTAGTATGCAGCATTGACGAGCACCATGACACAACGTTTCATTCTGATAAAGTTTCTTAGTAACAGCTGTAAGGAAAATAAAAATCTTTAGAATTTGCAAGACTAAAAACCATCAGATATACTGAAAAATTCTTCAAGCTAATTGAGATTTAAAAAGGATTTAGAAAGTTAATAAACATAGGAACATAGCAAGCACTTTGGCTCACAAGTTAAAGGGAAAAGTATTTCTGGAGAAAGTGGAAAGAACTGACATAAGAACAAATTCTTAACTGAATGTATATGTTTAAATAATGTTGTCGTGTAAGTTGGATAACCTTTGTTCATAAGAAAAAAATCTCTAACAGATCAAAAATTTTTTTTAGCTACTCACATATTATGAAACAATTTTAAACTCAAATTTTATTGTGTTTTTAAGATTCATCAAATGCTTTAACATATTTCAAAGTGAAATGGATAACTTGGAATGTTTCTATTTAGAGAAAAACCTGTCAAGTACTTCTTTATTATAGAAAATAATTTTTTTTTACAATTTTAGTAGGAATCTTCCCTTTTTTTTACTATCATATTATCTCTCTTTATCTTCTCCCCTTCCCCACAATAAATTTAATCTACAGTTTCTATAGTTTCTCATTACTTTTTCATAATTTTGGAGTTAGGGAAAAATTTATGGCAACCAAGTGCTTTACAAAATCTTTCATTAAAAAGGTATATGAGAATTGATATAATTTAAAATTTAAAACTAAGGCATGCCTACAACTATAAAAAAGAATAGCCCATGTACTACATGACGGCTCAAAAAATTACATATAGGTATATTAATAGTTAGAATAATTATGTCGTCAGGTTAATATTTTGCTACTTCCAAATATACTTCAATGTTGATCTGGCATTTTTAAGAAGTAGCTATGTGAAATTTACCGAAGTCAAATGAACAAAAAATATATGTGTTAATACAGAGACATGTACGTGCATCCCAGTTTTAACAATTTGCTGAAACTGAAATTCATTTCAAGCTAAGTAGTTTCTCTATTTGTTTTTCTTCTTGGCCCCTATCACCTTTATTTAACAGCTATTTTTGTTACTTTTGTCTATAATTAAGGAGAAATGTAATGTGTATTTCTATTTAGATAGATGTTACAATTTGTAACACTATCTTTAAACAACTTAAGATCACACTGTTTTGGTGAATTTATTCAATTAAAAATAAAAAATATATTTAGGCTTCTAATATCATAAAAAATTATTAAATATTTCAAGGCACGAATAAGTTCAGTAAAATTTATAGCCATAACAAATACATTTTATTATAGCTCTGTCAATTGGATGTAAACATTTTTCTTAGCACTTTTTCTTAACTTGATATCAAGCCTAATTTAAAGTTATAAGCCACAGGTATCAAGTTTAATTGAAAATTGCTTCATGATAGAAAAATCAGATTTCTTGATTTTCTATTTTGTTAGCTAAAATGCCAATAAAAGTTCACTTCTAGAAGATCATAGTTAAAATTTAATTAACATGAAGATTTCCCTTAGAAGATGGAGATCTTCTTAGAAGATCTGTATTAGAGGGAAGAGCTTTATGCTGGGCTCACTTTACACACACCTGCACCATACCTGTGGGTGGTCTGGACATATATTTGAAGCTCAGCTTTTGGCATACTCATTTACACATTCCATGGCAATCAAACTGTATTTTATGTTCAAAATGATCATTCTGTTGCCAACACATGAATACATATCCATTATATGCAGCACCTACAGTATCCCCTTTCCTTTCTGACCACCCTTATCCAATTTATCAGTTTGGTATTGTCCTTGTTTGATCTTTTAATGAAAGAAAGAGAAGGAAAAAAAAGGAAGTAAGAAAGAAAGAGCAATTTTCAGTAAGTAGATGATCAAAAATTCCATAGTCTTCCCCCCTCTACACCTCTGAAGTTTATTTGAATTTACTTCAACGTTTTAAGATATCATCAGGTCTTCCCAGAGGGATTAATCTTTCCTTGCTTTTTACCTGTTTAGAGAGTCTGTTTTCCTCTTCAATGTACTTCTGTTCTTTGGGTATTAATGTTCGTAAGCTGGCTTTCACCTGTACATCAACATATGTGTCTGTTATGGATTAATATATTACAAATGTTTACAAGTTTTTCACGTAGTTCAATTTGCAATAATTTCTAAAGTTGCAAAGTTCTGGCTGCTGTGCTCATAAAATATAAATGTATACAGTTGCACATGCATGCGCTTCCCTTTCTTAGGCCAGCAGGTAGTGGCCAGAGCACAACCGCAGCGGCAGTCGCCAACTATAACAGAAAGCCTGGGTGTGCCAGGCAGTGGCAGAAGCGTATTCTCCAGGATACATCAAGGTTTAGAGAAAATGAGGAATGACAGAAATTCTCTACAAATCAGGAACAAAAGCTTTCATGAAACTGAACTCTTTAGCAGTACAAAAAAGCCAAAGTTAAGACTTACAGCATTAAAAATCACATCTATTTCAAGATAGATGACCCCCTTTGTTGGCCCTGTCAGCTGCTTGTTTTTCAAGACGTAGGCTTTCTGTTCACCATTTTGAATCTGCGGGAAAAGGACATGACAGCCGTCTGTCTCGCGGTCTCCACTGAATACACTCCCTCAGTGACCTTTGACCCCCAGCTGCTGAAACTGACAGAGAACCCAAAACAACTGTGGCAATTCTGACAAGTACCTGTTCATTACCAGGATCAAGTCTGTCAGGAAAAATTAACTATCATGGGATTCAACATGGCTGTGAATTGAGTATGTTAAAATTTTTAGTGTTCTTATTACAGACCTTGGTTGAGAAATGACAGACGTAAAGCTAAGGGTTTTTTTTTTGTTGCGTTTTTTCCTTTTTTTTTTTTTTTTTTTTTTTACGTGAGCAAAAGCAACACAGAACAGTGTGTCAGGTGAATAAAACTTACAGACAGCAATGGTATAGCAACTTTGCCCAGAAAGTCAGCACTTCGATCCCGATCTTCATCGTAAACTGTCACTTCAAGAACTGAATGGATATCTTTAACATTGCTGCATAATAAGTATATGTAAGAAAAAAAGATTTTATCAGTGGGAAACACGAATGAAAATGGTTTTGAAAATTTAGAAAGCTCCAGCTTATTTTGTGTGTGTGTTTTATGTATGCTATTTGCATACACACATATACAAGATAGCTTGAAATCTGACAGAATTTCCCATAATGCACCTTAGTTGACTGCAGTGATGGTTCTATTATCTGAAATTTTGAACACCATTGTAATTTCAAGTTATAATTTTTTAATGAAATATAATTTCCCAGCAGGATGGGCACAGAATAAGTTATTGAAAAAAATCAATAGGAGGCACTGGTGGTTTTTAGATTTTTTGTCTCATTATCACAATAATTCCTATCTTTCCATTATTCCCACATAAAACACCACCAGATTTGATATCAGTAAGACTCACACTATATTTTATATAATTATTATTTTTTATAATAATAAGACATCTTTTTGTTTACAGCTCTCATCAAAACATTGACTTAGTTTCTGTTAGGTTTATAGTAAAAATTAACAAACAGAAAATAGAATGAGGAAAATGTAACATTTATAGCTATTGTACCACCCTGGAATTTAGATTTTAAGTAGTGTTCCATTATGTTCCAAAGACAACATATGTTAATAAACAACTGTGTGAGCTCTTCATATTTTTGTTTCTGGAAAAATAAGCACAAATTGTTGATAGCATTTATTCTTTGATCAAACTGTTTACCAAGAAAACATGAATTAAGAGAAAACAAAAACGTGAATATATTCATTACTGAAAAATCCCAACCACATGTGAGAAGAGGCTTTATCAGGGCACAATCAATTAATGGCTTTGATAATAATCAAACCTATTCATTCAATTATGCATTCCAGAGAAAAACACTCTCCACAACCTTCTCAGGAGTGCAAGTCTCCTGTCCAGGCTTTCATCTCTTATAAAAATGTGGAATTCTTTAAAAATAAATTGGTTGGATAATTAAATTCTGATTAGCTACTGGCTCTTAAGCAGAGACATTACAGAAATTAATGAGGAATTTAGCAGTTTTTCATACACAAAAAAATAAAACTATGTTAAAAAAACTTCTAAGAAGTACTTCTGTTTGGAGAGTTTTCCTTTGTTCGGAATTTATTTCTAAAGCCCCACGCAAAAAAACCGAACTTAGGAGACACTATAGTGTAGCACCACCAGCATGATTGAAAAGATTTACAAACTTTTTAAAACAAAAGGGAAATTAACTCAAAGGGTGTTTTGGTATCTAGGACAATACTTAATATTCTTATTGTGCTAAAATGAAACAAACCAAAACTGAAGCATCGGCCGAATTTGTGACCGGATCGTTTGCTGATTTCAGCAATGGAACAAACAGAGCTTTGTCCTCCTGGGTGTCAATGCAATTGGGAAGAATTTCAAAGGAAAGTATAAAAGGAAGAAGCAGTATGGCGATTCAGTTAATGGTAGCAAAGCCCTTAGTCAAATCATAGTTTTAAAAAAATGTCCATGAAAACAAAGAAAAATGGCGTACCCTTTCCCCAGGTTTCACAGGAAGTTAGGAAATTCATTGTTGTTAGCAAAGGCAGGCCAGATGCATTGAGTTGTGAATCCGTTAAGAGTAAACAGACACATTAAAAAACTAAAAAATAAGACGTAACACCACTTCTGAAATGAGCCCAAGGTAATGCCTACTTACAATGTGAAGACTTTGTTCCACTCAGGATTGAGATTTTTGTAGACAGTGTGTGTTAGCAGCCTATCATTGTTCAGTTCTACCACACAAAATGGGTCACTTTTACCTAGAAAAGATTTTTGGATGAATACTTTTAGTATAAATAGCACTGACAGTTCAGTGTCACAATCATGACCATATCTCTTTTCCAAAAATAAACTGAAGTAAAATTTTAAGAATTTTTAGAAAGCCACCATCAAAATAGAGTTTGATGTAACTGGATGTTATCAATCGCTAAGATTCATAACAATTTAAAACCTGAAAAAAGTAAAAGAAAGCAAATTATATAGCTGGCATTTTAATTTGCAATTTTCTTTTCTCTCTTTTCTTTTTTTACAAAAATTAGACTAACTGCCAATTATAAGGGAGAATGTGGTGATGCATGTCCATCTCTAAATCACTTTTTACTTAATTCTATAATGACCATTTGAAAAGTTCACTCCCTTTACTCTTATGCACATATTTTTCAACTCATCTGATTCACTAGTGACTTGTAATAGAAATATCTAGTCAAGTTTATTTGGGGAAAATTGGTATATTGCAGAATTACAACATTTTAATTTCACTAAGATTTACTTTCTTCTGAGGGTATCTATGGCATCACAAGAAGGTAAATTAGACCCTCTGAGGCAGAAAAAATTCTGTGATTTGAAACTTAACATCAAGAACCAATCTGCATGTTAAAGAGCAGTATTTTTTTCTGTCCACTGAGAGTAAAGGATTTGGAAGTTATCTGTTTATAGTGACTCTGCCCTGCCGTAGTCAAATCTTATCCATTCTGCAATTATGTTTTGTGATGTCCTCAATATTTCTGTAATGTCATGTCCTGTATTATAAGAACCCATAAAGTCAGAGGCTCTGTGGGGGCAGCATTAATGATATTAGTGCAGCATGTAATTTGTTTGATATCTTATACAAATGACAATGAAATCAATATTTAGACAAAGCTGTCCAGAGGTCATATCTTTTAAGCTACAATATTGATTTAGACTACATAAGAGGTTAATGTGCATATTATTAACTTTAATGATAAAGAATAATTGTTTTAAATGCATTGTGAATTGTAGTCACAGTAGTTTACACTTCTGTGAAAGCTTAAATATCATTGAAGATTTTCAATTAAATTTTAATGGGAAGGAATTCATTAGCTATTATTGACAGATAAGCTATGTATTCCCATACAGCAGTGTATTTACTTTCCATATTGTAGTTCTTAAAATGAGCTGTACAAACTTTGACTCACCTTTAATTTAATTTATTAATTTTTTATTAAAAAAGAGATTTAATGTGTGTGTTAGTTCAGTGGCCTCATCCACCCAAGGATAATTGCGTATCTTAACATTATGGTAGTCTCAATTTTGGGTCTTGGGTATAATTTTCAATAAGAAATAGAGAACTGGAAGTCCTTGAGGTCTGTTGAAAATTTTACTTCTAGCTTAGGATCTGTATTATCTTCTTTCCCACATTCTTCATTCATCTTGCCCTACCTCTTACCACCCTCACTTACAATTCACACACAGTAAAGAAAATAGTGTTCATAAAAGAGTATTTTGGTCATTAAAACACATTGTAATAGGTTTTATCTGATACATCAACAACTTTAGTTTCTTCCATAGAATTCAGGCACAAGCATAAAAAGGCAAATTCAAATAATTTTCAAAATATATTTAAATGTAAGCCACTAGGCAAGACCTTCCCCAATATCTGTGCCATATCTTAGTAGTTAGTAGGCCACACACATAGGAAAAGCTCAGTAATGTTCTGACTATAGATTCACTCATTTAACAAATATTTATTGCATGTCCCAGGCAGTTTTCTATGTGTTAGAAAGACAACAGTGAATAAAACAATTTTTAAAAATCCCTGACCTCATGGAGTTTGCACTAAGGAAGAAGACAGACATTAAATACGTATTTCAGTATTTTAGAAGACTATAGTACTATGGAGAAATACAGCAATGGGAAAGGTGATGAGGAGTGCTCGTATGTATATGCAATTCTTAAAAAGGCTGCAGAGAAGGTTTGCTGAGAAAGTGACATATAGTCACAAAGAAATGAAGGAGGTGAGGGAGTAAGCCTTGGGTTAGTTACCCAAAGGAACAGGTCATGGAAAAGCCAGGAAAATGGCTGTTCCTGATGTTTCCAGGAATATCCAGAAGCCAGTGTGAGTGAAGGAATGAATTGGGAGGGTGGGATGGGGGTGTAGTAGATGACACAGAGAGGTCTGGGGAGAGTGGCAGGCCTCTGAAAGGACTGGCTTTCACTCTAAGTGAGAGGGGGAGCTTTCAGAGGGATTTGAGTTGAGGAGTGATGTGATCTGATGGCTGCGATTTGGAGAGTACAGCAGAGAGAGAGCAACGGAGGAGATAGGGAGAAACGTTAGGAAGCTATTGCAATCACCTAAGTGGTGGAAAGTGGTTGGATGCTGAATATATTTTGAAGGTAGAACCAACAGGATTTGCAGATGTCAATATTGAACCATCAGTCTAATATGCCCTAATATTATTATTTGAAGATAGAAAATAATTCATGGAGCTTAGCCAAGCCAGTCCTTTTTTTCAAGGACAATAAGCATTCAACAAGATGCTCAGACTAGATATCACTAGAATCTGACAAAGAGGAAATTTAGGTAAGGAAAGAGCAGGCAATTTTATGATTAATTTCTATTCATCTTTTCCTTCTAAAAAGTTATCTTTTACAGTTATTGGTAATGAATGCCAACATCATGTCTTTACACACTATGTTATTTTTTACTAATATAGAAAATATCCTTCTGCCACTGCATGATTCAAGGGCAATTAAAAATTAACAGCAATTTCAACCAAAATATTAGTAAATGTACAATATCAAATTCTATAAACTCACCACTAAAAGGCGTACACTACAGTTTTATTTTAAAGAAGTGGCTACACATAGTTAATGTGCATATCTGGTTTGCTAAATAATGCTTTAAATGACTGGCTTTTCAGTTCCTAAATTTTGCAGCCTTGATTATCTGCCACTTAAACAAACAAAAACCATCAGAGAAATACTAGTGATGGACCTAACCATTAATTATCTCCTTAATTGCACCTTCCTTTCATCCTTTTATCATTCCATTTAGACCCTGTGATATGCTGCTGTGCTTGCTGACAGTACCTGAGTTGTGGGGTTGGCTACAGAGTGGAGTGCTGATGTCTATAAACTGCACTGAATTCTGCAGAGCTCCAGAGAGTGACACAAAGCAGTCCCCTGTAATGTTTTTATTCAATACTGTATTGCTAGAAGTGCAAGAAATGAAAGCAGCATATTGTTTTTGAAATTTTTTTGAATATTTAAAGAGCCTAAATGTATGAGAACACAGATTGTATAATCTCTTGTGTCCCTCTCATTTATTTTTGTCATAAGACTGAAACTGATCTGTAGGTACCAAAGGGCTTTTCCTTAACCTCCATAATTTTGGCTTAAAAGTGCCTATCCCTCTCCTCCCACTTGTTAGCAATGCAAGAAACTGGAAAATTTGATTTGGATGGAAGATAGAAATTGCAGCAGTGCTGAGTGAGGGTGACAGCTACAAGAGAATCAGCCTTCCTTGAGACTATGATAATTTTCCATGTTGACAATTTTCTAGAGAGAAATAGGAATAGGAATGCCTTTTGAAGCATTCATACTTATTGAGTGTCTGCTCTGCTCACCCCAGAATTATAAGTATGATTAAGACATAGTCCAGCTCTCAAGGCATGCACAATTTAGTGGGCATGATAGACACGTAACTACGCGATTATAATACCGGGTTGTAAATGCCGTAATAAAGGTAAGTGAAAGGTGCAACGGGAGCAATGAGAAAGAAGCAAGCCATTCTATAACTCTAGAACAGGAGGAGGAAAGGAAACGAAGATCATTTCCCCGTGGAGATGACCCTTGAGATCTATGGTGACCGTACATCTCTCTCACCAGCATTTTTAGAAGTGAAGAACAGACACGTAAAAAATTGCCTTTAACCATTTATGATTAGGAGTATCTAGCTTAAATCTATTTGTGTATCCCTTTAATAAGGTGTCTATAACACAAGAGACCTAGATATGTGTTTCATAACTACTATGACATAGACACTTGAAAATATTATGTTAGGACTGATGCATTTATCTGTAATCTAGTTAAATATTCAGGGCTATTTTTTTCCCTATGGATTTTTATAGGAAAAAAAAAAAATCTTCCATGGGAGTTAACATTAGAAAGAGACTCTTTTACCCTAACTCATAGAACTATATCCATTACAAATTTTAAAACATATACAGTATTACCACAATTCTTCTTTTGGTGAAAAGCCTTTCCTACAACAATACAAACAAACATTGGAATTGTCTCCAATTCTCTCTCTCCTGGCAATCTTCAAAACAGCACCAAGGATTAGATGGGGTGCACTGAGTAGCTAATTCTGTCTCACTCTTAGCTCTTGCTCTTTGAGGTCACAACACTGACATATTGATAAAGAACTGTGGGAAAGTCTGCACCGCCCCTGCTCACTTGCTACCTGTTTTGTGGACAAGTGGATGACAGTTTGTGCAAACTACTGTTTTGAGCATTAAAGTCACTCAAAAGATACTGAATGATATTCGTGCTCCCAGAATAGAGAGTTAATCCTGATCCATCAGTGGTGGGCTTTGTCCAGGGTCATTTTGCTGCTGACAAGTAGCACAGTTTGCTGCATGTGATGTGCTATAAAAATGTGTGTGTATGGGGACCCAGTGATCACTTCTTTGTTGCCATTTCTGAAAACACAGAAGGCTTTCAACAGCATAGAAAGCAATTCATACCCACGGGGGCCTTTTATTTTGGGTCTACCTTGCACAAATTAAGCTCTTTGGTTTAATTTCCTCACTTGCCACACTTTGAAATGGCTATACTTTAATTTTTTAAAAAAATATATAATGAAGGTTGCCATCTTTCCTTTTTGCAAACTGGAATTTCAATCATAACATATAACAATGTTATAGTTGAGGGAATTCCATAGGGTCCATCAGGACAAAAAGCAACATACATTGAAGACATCTTCCGAGCCTCCTCAGATCACTGGAGATGGGGCTTT